GTCCAGAAACACTTCCTGTTTCAGTTTGTAACTGTTTTCTTTATTTCATTATTTCACATGTAAAGAAAACATCTTAAAGATATTTGTTTAACTTTTTGATTCAGTTTTATATGTTCTGTTGGTTGAATTTTATCCCAGCTTTTTATGTAGTGTTAAAAAAACTGAAACAGGAAGTGCTTCTGGACCAGTGTTGTTTACATCTTGTAAAATGGTCTATAGTATGTCTACGGTTAAAAGATGCCCGTCTCATATGACCTTGTTTTTTGTATACACTGTGAAAATGGAAAATGTTGGTGTTATTTTGTCACTTATTGGGAGCAATATTCTAGATGGAGCCATTTACTTCCAGTCTTTCTGCTAAGCTAGGCTAGTGGCGGGTGCGTCAGAAAGAGTTACAACACGCACGGAGATAAAAAGGGTATGTATGGACTTATCTAACTCTGGGGGACACGGTGAATAAGCTAAAGCCCCAAAAAGTTGGCATGTTCCTTTAACAGAATTCACTTTATGTATGACTTTGGCTTAATTCGATAAAACGTAATGTAAAACAAACGTGTCTTTAAACTCATTTCATTTCATTTTTAATAGGCTTTATGCACAACTTAAGCCCCGTTCACACCGCCAGCGATTTTGTCGCTGTGTGTCGCTAGGCTCTGTACTGTGATGTCGCTTGTGGGCGTTCGTAGTGCTGTCGCTCTTGTGTTATTGGTAGACTGCACGTCTGGCCATATCTATACAAAAGACCATCACAAGTGATATATAATTTTAATTTGACTGGGAATAAATTACTTTTAAGGCTAAAAAGAAACCATATGCTGTTGGGAGAGTGTTTTTATATCTCCACAGCTGTGTTCAGTGGATTAAATCATTTACTAGATCAACGATCGATCAATGAACAAATTAAACTCACTCATACTGTCACAAATTATAGAAACGTCATTCGAATTTGACAAATAATAAATTTTCTTGTCCCTAATAGTCAATGTAATGCAGGGGAAATTGTAAAATGAACTGCAGCAGTGCTAACGTGCATCATATAATTACAACACTCGAACTATAACGTTAAATGTATGAATTAAACTCACTGTCGACAGTTTCTTTTCCATGCATCATTTTATTATCCATGTATGTGGTTACAGTCAAATCATATAAAACAGTGAAATCGTCCTCTAACTCTTTCTTTCTGTCTTCTTGCCTGCACTCGAGACGGTGACGTGAGCTGAGCTCCACTGAAAGTCTTCTTTCCTATTGGTTGTCGCTCGCAAATATCGCTTCTCATTTGCATAAAGTTGAAAATTCTCAACTTTTGTCGCTTGTCTCTTGTCGCTTGACACGCCCACATTCTGTCGCCAACGGTCACTGTCGCTCGTGTCGCCGGATGTCGCCAGCGCTCCATTGAAATGAATGGGATCTTGTCGCTTTGTCGCTGCGTGTCGCTGGCGGTGTGAACGGGGCTTTACTTCCGCATTCTGTAAAACAGGTCGCATCGCTTCCGGTCCAGGTCTTTTGTATGTGCTTCATGAAATTTTTTGCGGTTTTACTCAAGATAACTTAAAAGGAGCGAGTAAAGATTAGCATAACCAATATCCCTGACATGTGCAGATTGATATTTAAACGTTTTATATTTTTCTTCTTCACAGTAACGTTTTGATATTTAAATGGAATAAAACGCCAATAACAAAGTGAACTAGTTAGGTTAGCTGATTACCTTAAAAATCCATAGATATCGTAGTCAGTTCTTACGGCCGTTAACACTTTCTCTGACAAGCGGATGCGATGAGACCCGTTTTCCGGTTTTGTCACGTGACGCTCCGCATAAAGCCTATTTATATCGCTACATAGAATTTATAACTAGGGAGGAAATAACTAAAACTTTTAGCTAGTACCCAGACAGTGATATTGTATTGGTACAAATGGGAGAAACTGCAACGCGCAATATGGCAACCTCAGGGCAGCTCTTGTAATATTTTCTAAATAAAAGACTCAATCAATATTTAAATGTGAGTTTGGCAACAGTTATTTCCCCTATCAAACAGATAGCAGTTGGTCTTGAATGCCCAAAATAGCTACCCGGAGGCACTTTAAATATGGCCGCCGAGTCAACTGACCTTCCAAGGGACTATAATTAAAGGTAGTTATATGATCATTAGTGTATCAATAACATCACCTTCAACAATGAATTCACCTAATTCTCAATGAAGCGTCTTTCTCAATTGGGTCGAAATTTTAGGACACACTCCTTTTGTCTAACGGATGCATTAAACATGTGCAAACGCACTGAAATGTCAGCATTAATCTCTAATGAACAAACCCAAAGACAAACCGCTAGTTTAAACAAAGCGCTTGTAGAAGCAGCATGCTAGGCTTTCTTTTGCCCGCTCTTTCCCTCCCTCCCTCCCTCCCCCAGCAAGTCGAACACGTAGGAAGAGAAAGGGAGAGATAGAGCGAAATACTGAGAACGCAGGCACACAAAGGAAGGCGCTAGCTTTCCATCGCTGGCTTACTAATCGGCTCCTTTGTTGTGCTCGATGCATGCCTGTCCCTGTCACATGACCGCGTTTCCATGGCTACCGAGGTCTGAGTAATCATTTGCGCAATGACCTTTATTCCCTTGAGGGAAGAGGAGGGGGAGGTTAGAATGAAAGCAGAGCCAGCAAAAGCAGGGAGAGGGGGAGGGAGGAAGGGAGGGTGGAGAACTGGTGAGCAGCGGAGCGAGGCAGTGGGGACCTAGACAAGAAAAAGAGGAGAAGGAAAAAAGCAAACTGATTTTCTCTTAGCAGCACTGAGCAGAATCCGTTGGGTTTGGTTAGATAACGAACAGAGCGCGCAAAAACAGGCTGAGAGGGAGAGGAGGGAACGAGGGATGCAGCGGCACTAGAAGAGATAGCTAGAGATAGAGATGGGCCAACTGTAGGAAAAGAGGAATGAGCATTGCGCTCAAGCCGCTTGAATGAAAGAACCTTATAAACCCAACGGCAGACTCTCTATGGTCTGACGGTTCCCACGTTGAAGAAAAACATGCTGCCAGCAAAAGCTATTGCAGATCTGATACCAAACCAGCGGTGGATACGGCTTGAGTTTAAGACTAATAGTCTACCAATGATTGCACAAACTCAGCCACGATAATCACTTCTGAAATCTCCCACACATGAACAATATGCCTCAGAGATGAATAATGATAATGGTGGAATACATGCTAAGTGGTTACTGCTGATGAGCACCTTTGTTTACATCTACTCCCCAGTTATGTTGTAGCAGTCACACAGAATGAGCCCGGCACAGATGACACATGCTGACAGTCTGAGCTCAGTCATGTTTGGGTCACTGAGTTTCTCATTTACTCTCTTTTTCGCTTAGTTGTTTCTACTTTACCCTTTTCTGATGAGTATTATGCTAATTCTATTGTGAGAAAATTCAGTTTGAAGCTCTCTTCGCATCATACACTCACTGATTCAAGAGGACCTACTATTGTTTCTCTGTAGTTTTCATATGTATACAGTATGGAGGGTTCATAAACAGGTTTTAGAAGTGCTCATTTATTCCTAAGAGATCCCAGTTTTTCTTTGAGTGATCATTCCAGTTTCAATAACCTGAATTCTGTAACAATTCAAACTCCTATCTTTAGGGGGCAGTAGTCCACTTTTCTGACAGCTTTCTTAATGGCTTTTTGGGCCGGTGGAAGAGATACTATGATGTTGTAGTATTTTTTGTGAAAATGCTGCCATGAGGGCTGTAGTTTCACTCTGATGTGATAAAGCTTTGTATTCAATTTGTATTTTGCTTTTAGCTTTTAATAGATTTGAAGCCTTACAGTTTAACACACAGTTTAACTTTGAAAATGCAAGTTTTCTTAAATTTAGCTTCAAAAATAACTAAAACTTGTAAAAATTTAAAGATTATCAAAAGACAACTCAACAACTTTTATTGTAAATCAAATTTTGCTCTAGGACACAGTATTATTCCCTTTGTTTATTACAACTAGGGTTTTACTCTTAAAGAGTACACACAGAAATGAAAATGTTACCATAATTAACTTATGCAAGGACTAATGCTAATGCTTACTTCGGCAAGGACATATTTTCTAAGATTATAGAAACATAAGGATTCACCATGCAGACCCCAAGAGATGAATAGCACCTTCTTTGAACACCATTCAGGCACACTATGGAAAAACATACACACACACACTTTCTGTTTTGCTCTCTATCATGCTCCTTGACAAACACATGCTCATTTTCTCCAAACACACAAGCATCCACTCTCTTCCATACAAATCACACAGACAGATAGACAGACAGACACACACACACCTCTACACAGACTCTGCCTATCTAAAAAGACACGCCAGCCAGCTGGGACACACAGTAAAAGAGAGAGAGAGAGAGAGAGAGAGAGAGAGAGAGAGAGAGAGAGAGAGAGAGAGAGAGAGAGAGAGAAGGAGGGGAGAATATTGGGCAGGAAGTAGCACAGTTGGGTGTTTGATGGGGTCGGCAAGACCGTTAATCACAGAAATGGTTCTGTTAGCCATGACAGCTGAATCCACGGCAAAACACACAGGACAGCGCTAGCTCACGCATGACGTCATCCTTCCTTCCAGATCCCCTGAATTAATATTCCAATAAGAGTAGAGAAGGGCTGGCTGAAGGTTGAGATGACATCCCTCCATGCATTACTCACGTTTCACCACATGACCTGGGCAACCCAGCACTCACATGGCTAAGAGTGCAACACAGTGACAGGCTTTTCATTTCCAGTATCTAATATAGACTCTACTGAAGTGTTATATGTAGTGGTAAGATGCATCTTTATAGCTATCAGTATTGATTAGTGGCTTTTTCAGTGCATAGTATATGTAAGCCTTCTGTTATGACTACTACTAATTCACCAGGGAGGCTTGATTAATAATTTTTCCTAGTTATAACCACACCTCCTCATTCATCCATGAAGGTCTGAATAAGGAACCATTCATTTACATTGTTGAGGGTAAGCTCACCTGAAGGCCACCCCTCCTCCATCACATGTGCTTCCCCCGTCCATGCTGCCCCTGCAGCTGTCGACCCCCTCTGACCTCTTGGTCCAATCAATAGCTCTCCTCTCAGGCCTTCTGCTGGAAGGTAATTGCTAGTCTAAGTTACCTCACCTAGACATAAGAAAAACAGGAGAGATGAATATTTATAAGAAGTACAAGTACATTAGTGAAATAGTATATGAAATAGTATATATACTATAAAGTGTATAGTATATTACTGATTAAAGGGTTAGTTCACCCAAAAATAAAAATTCTGTCAGTATTTAATCAAACAGATCTCATTCCCCATTGTAGTCAATGGGGATTGAGATCTGTTTGATTAAAACATTCTTCCAAATATCTTTCTTTGTGTTCAGCAGAACAAATAAACACATAGAGGTTTGGAACAACTTGAGGCTGAGTAAATGATGAAAGAATTTTCATTTTTGGGTGAACTATCCCTTTAATATAATACTGTATATATTTTTACTTTATACAGTATATGTTTTTGCTTATACTAATACTTGTAATCAGGAAGGAAACATACTTTGATCAAAGTAATGACAAATAATGGCATTAATAGTGCTACAAAGAAATTAAATTTGAAATAAAAGTTATTAAGAAAAATTTGTTTCCACAATAATATTAAGTAGCATAACTGTTTTCATCTTTGATAATGACAGTGGTGGACAAGAAGTACACATATCAGGTACTTAAAAAGTACAGATACCATATAATATTCTTCCAGTAAAAGTACTCCGTTTTAATTTTATTCGAGTAAAAGTATAAAAGCACAGACAAATGACCACAAAAATTACCAAAACTTGTCATACACTGATAATTGTAATGCTAATTGATGATTGATAACGATAATTGATCATTGATAATGATAATTTAATTACAAAATAACAAGATATACAATAGCTAGTATATAAAAAAATGAGGAAGAACAAAATGTGTGTAAATGTGTGTTGACACATAAATGTACAGTATAGAAACAGATTGTGTAAAATGTGTTAAATTTGAAGAAAAATGGCATGCAAACATACTAGTTTTTACGTCATTTGAAACTGCTATGGCAGCAGAGGGTACATTCATTCAAATGAGCTGGCATTCATTTTCATGTTTTAAAATTATGTTTAGTTTTAACCTAAAACCTACACCATTGTACACCAATGTATTTGTATTACACATAAAAAATATCCACTTTCAAGCATTTCATACAATGGGGTTAAACAGCTCGCACTTTACGTAAAAATAAATAAATAAAAAGACCCGACAGTCATGACCTAAATATGATTTCCATTTACAATAGGCCAATTTCACAAAATGGCGACCGAGACCGGAAGTAGGGTAGCGAGACTTCCGGTCACGCCGCTGCCAGCTATGATCGCCATTTATTCTCAAAATGGACTGTGAACAGCTTGTTTTCTTTTACTGTCTATGGTTTTCTCTCTCAGTCATTAATATATCCAAGGGTAGGCAAGTTCGGTCCTAGAGAGCAGAATGCAGAATTTAGTTCCAACCCTACTCAAACACACCTGAAGAAGCTAATCAAGGATTACTAAGGCTATGGGCAGGATAGGGTTTTTTTCAGTGTTGAAGCCAAACTCTGCAGGACAGCGCCTCTCCAGGACCTTGCCAACCCCTGATATATCTGACAAAAGTAACAATAGCAGATGTTGTCCATTTTGTTGATAGTTTTCAGGGAGCTGTGAAAAGATCAAAATTGGACAAAGGTTACAAATTCTTGTTGTTTGCCTAAATAAAAATAGTGTCATTCATTCCATTCACCCTAACCCTAACGAGACTTGAACAGATTTCTACAACGCATGCATGAGAATTGCAATCTCCTTCAACTACTTCAGTTCAATTCTCGCGCGTGCGTCGTGGAAATCTCTTGAAGTCTCGTTTCAGGCCTACAAGGAAGAAAAGGAATAGTCGAATAAAGTCGTTATTTTTGTTTGCTTTTTCGCACAAAAATTATTCTCGTTGCTTGATAAACTTATAGTGGCACAATTGTCACATGGAATATTTAAACATTTTCTTCATTGACTTTCTGGGCCGTCAAGTTTCAATCCCTTAGGCAGCCTATGGAGCAGTGATCCAGCTCTCAAATTGAATCAAAAATATCTTCATTTGTGTTCCGAAGATGAACGAAGGTCTTACAGGATTGGTACAGCATGGGGGTGAGTAATTAATGACTTAATTTTCATTTTTGGGTGAACTATCCTTTAACTTCTCCCCAGTTGTTCCATGAAACCCTGCAAAACACGGAAAGCCATGAAGTGATAAGAGTTGTTTCTACTTTGGGTTGAAAAGGTACGCAATAGTCTCGGCATTATTTTGTCGTCCGACTGCAACTCCTAGTGCTTTCACTGGAAGAGTTTACCCTACTTCCGGTCTTGGCAGCCATTTTTGTGAAATAGGCCTAATATAGATTGTAAAATTCTGCATCAGTCGTGAGAGCACTCAAGATTCTATAGGATCTCCTGTTCTTGGCTCATTTTGAGTCAGACTAGTGAACATTTTGAGTCAGACTTGCTCTGACCAGATCATTTAAATCCCTGTGTTGCTGACTCAAGAGCAAAATCCGAATCAGATCAGTCCAAGTCACGAATGAATCATTCAATGCGATTTAAAAAACGATTTAATAGGGTCATTGGAAAGAATCCACTCATTCGCGAATCCAACACCGCTATTGCTTCTTGGAGGGATAGAGTAAAAAGTTCGATATTGTGCTTTGGAATGTAGTAAAGTAAAGGTTTACTCAGATAAAGTAAATATACTTGAAAAATACTTTGTTACTGTAACTGAACATTTATAAAAAAAATGGTTTCTGAAGGATCATATGACACTGAAGACTGGATTAAAGAAGTAAATCACAGGAATAGTAGATATTTTAAATTTGAATAATATTGCACAATATTCTGTTTTTTTATATCAAATAAATGCAGCCTAAACACTCACACACATATATATGCATACACTCACAGATCGGTCCGTTGGACAAGTTGCTCTTTGACAACAGACAAGGTCACAAGCATAACAAACACAATATCCTTGACTCAGGGGATCCACTTTGAAGGCCTATGGGGAGCTGAGGAAACGTAATTGATTATGTGGGTTTGTGTTCATGAGAGGAAAAAAAAAAACTTTGTAAAACCATACTTTGTATGTAAAGAAAGAGACAGATCTTATTCTGTGCCCTATGCTTTTTGGTTTAAAAACAGAGCCTCCATTGTGTCACTACAGCCTCTGGCAAGAGTTGGAGCTCAAGTCTAAGACTGACAATGAAAGGGCCTTAGAACCGTATGAAGTTCGAGCTGTAGTTTTGTGTAAGTGTTCGTGCCTCCGCATGTGCGGGGGGGAGGTGGTGGGGTTGGTTCAGACACCAGTGCTACATGATTCACTCCACAAGACATCTGGCAAAACTGAGCAATTTGGCTGTGTATGTCTGGTTTCCCAGCAACTCACTCCCGAGTCCCAGCTCAAGAAGCCACCGCTAAAGGAGGAGGTGAAGGACGCTTTTGGATTTACTCCAGGAAGGTCACAGAGTGGAACTGGTCCTGAGATAGAAAGAAACACTCTTTATTATCTAAATTCAATTGAGGTTGAGGCTGTATCTGACAATATCAAGCCAATCTTATTATTTGTATTTTCTATTGAGATAAATCCCTACCATACAAAACTAACCGAATATCACTGACAACAAATGCCGGTTACCAGCCTTGCTGGTCTTTCCACCAGACGTCCTCTTCCTTCATTGCTTGTGGCATTGTTGGATATCAGCAAACATCTGTGTTTGAACAAGTGTTTTGTAAAGTTCAGACAACCAACAGTCACAAACATTTTGTTTCACCAGTGGTCTAGGTGCAGGAAGACTGCAGGTGTGATTGTTATAAGAATGATTGGCAGGATGACATTAACAAGCTCCTTCTAAAACTCATCCCATTAAAGTTAACTATTTGCCTTTATGATGATCAAAAATAATAATACACTTGTTAAAATTTTCTGATCCTTTGTAAGATAAAGTAACACAATTTTTCAGGAAGGAAGCAATAAACTGATTAAAGGGGTGGTTTACTGCTTTTTTTTCTTTGCATGATTGTGTTTATGGGGTGCAATATAACATGTATTGAGCTGCAGAAATATGGCATGGGTTAGTTACGTATAAAACCCGTTGTAGTCCCATTCGAGTCGTTTGTGTAGACATTAAACTTCCTGATTTTTAAAAGACGATATCTCTGCTTACATTGAACTTTCACTATTCAAATTGTTCTGTTCTAAAGAGTATCGTGTGCTTTAACGGAGCTGTATGTAAGAAATGTATTTCAAATAATCATAAAATGGCCCAGATATGTCACTAGACTTTAAGAAATCATGTTAATTTCAAATACTTTTATCTTTGACAACAGTAGTCCAGCCTGGATACTGTAATTTAAAATGTAAAGTTGCAGCCCTCAAATGATGTTGATGTTGTCATGTTGTGTTCTTAATATAAAATATCTTAATTTGTGTTCCGAAGATGAACGCAAGTCTTAAAGGGTCACTTCACCCATTTGTGTTAAGCTTTGTATCTTTAGAAACCCAGTCATATTTTTGAATGGTCATGGTTTATTCCCTTATTTTCCCCTGAGATGGGAGAAATAAGGATTTAAGTGTTTTACTTCCTGCTTATCATGACGTAAAAATCGTCATTTTGCGTCACGATAAGCAGGAAGTCGTATTTCATTAAAATCTGTAGAGACTACAAACATTAGCTCCTCATTATTCCAGGGTGTGGGACCCACTCACCCTACAGGCCTATTACAGATCAGTGGGTGGGACTTCACTTGCAGAAACTGAATCAATATCCACCATCTTGTTTGGAAGCTAAGCTAACGAACGCTGTGGAGATTGGAGTCATTGTAAGTTATGACAATGACGGAAGAAACTAAACATGATATGGAAGAAGAGGATTTTGAAAGGCTGCTGCTCGAATCCGATGTTCGTGGCTATCTTTACGAGCCGCAGTATAGTTTAGAGCAGCTGAGGCTGATGTAGGTACAGGAGGCGGCTGCCTGTCGGTCGAGGACCCCAGACTTGGTGGAGCTGAGCGGATTGCTTTTGCCTGTGTTCTCGCTGTGTGC